AGCCCTGAGGATCTTGGTTCATCTGTTTTCCTTATGTTTGTAGTGGCAGATATTTAGATTGGGCTCGTGATATTCTTACTGCAAACACTGTCGGATGACAAATAAAGAAACCAACCACTCAATTTCCAAGGAAAAACACAGAAGAAATTCTGGCTGCACGCAGTTTTTACCTCCAAAACTGACCAGCTAAATTCACCTGGGGATTTTAAAACTGCAGGATATATACAACTAGCAGGATAAATAACTAGCAGGAGTGTATAATTTTTGCTTTAAACAAAAATATTTCTCACTTCAGCTATTCAAATCAACATTAACAGTGTCCAGAGTGTGTCACTCACAAAATAACCCTAGGCATGGAAATTATGTCAAAGCTTCCAAGGCAATTTGCAAACACTCCAAATGTACTGAAGAACAGACATTCACATTGACAGTTGAATTCTTCAACTCTGAAATCAATACATGCTTTATTTCCTATGAAAGGTGTGCAAATGTACAGTAATAGTACTTGATTCATGTAATTAGAATAATATTATAATTAAAGGCTCTACAGTATGATTTCTGCTGGTAGGAACTGATCTAATTTCTGTGAGAAATGGTCTTTTCATATCAGTGGGCTGTAAAACAGACCCACAGTATTTCAGATCCATGGAGATCAAAAGAACAGTTTTCGAGAGAGCAACAGGCATCAATATCATTCTTTCATAGTTCAAATAATAGTGAAAGAAAATGCAAAGGATACTAACTGATCTCACAGGAACATGGCACAATGGGAGGGCTTAATTACTAAAACCAATGCTCTCTTTGTCACTTCCTTCTCTCTCCCCTAATCTGCATGCATGCAGCTTTAAAATCCACAATGGTTAGCCAGTTTCATTAGTCTTTACTAACACTGTTTGGGTACCTGTGTTGAGGATAGCAGACTCTGAACCAAAGTCAGTATTCTATCCTATTATCACCACATGACTGAAACACACAACACACTTCTTAAACCTCATTACAAACAGGATGCTCTGGGACTGTGCTCTTTATTATTAGAAACACATGCACATAATCCTACTGATTATGTTTTTACTCAGGCCATGTCAAGCTATCAGTGACTAACCATCAACACTACTGCAATTTGACTGACAGAAGTAGAAATTGAATCTGACCTAAAAAGAAAAAAAAAAAAACCCCACACAAAAACTTGCACAAATTTTCTTCTAAAATGAAGATAAATTCAACATCAACCAAAGAGAGAAACTAAAAAAGTCTTGCTGTTAATTTTGGTGTGGTGTGGGTTTGTTTTTTCTTCTTAAACAGCAAACTAATGCTGGTTAGAACAGAAACAAAAAAAAAAGAAACACTTTTCCAAAGAGCCCTCAAGTCTTCTAGGGGAAGGCCACATATGTTGCAGTGTGTCAGCTCCATTTAAGGCTGACCTTCAAAGTCTGGGTTAGCCACTAAGGAGACACAGCAATTCAGTCCATCCTTAAGCTCACACACAACTTTCAGTGTACAGACTCAGCCTCAATTTGTTTCAAAGGGAATGCTCCCCATAAACAGTGTCGTGCAGGAATGTTTGCAGAACTGAAGCCTTGACGTGGTGATGTGTTCGAACAGCATCACAGTGATGTCTATTTTCCATTACAGATAAATATGCTGTTACTCCCTCCCAAGGAATGAAAGTGTAAAAATATTAAAGAAATAACTGCGGTTAGGATTATACTCTTCAAATACTTTGCTATAATATTAATAATTTAATGTGCTTTTCACTGAGATATTTGCCTGGCTTGTGATGATTCTTTTGGATGAAGCAGTTCTTCCTCTCTCCCAGACACTATATTTCTATCTGGTTTTATGGCTCATTAGCTTTTTCAGATATACTTCACATAGGTATATAAAATTATGCTACAGTATTTTTGGCTTATTTAGTTTTGAGCTGCTGAGAAAGAGCATTTAAAACTCTTTGACATTTGTTACAAAATCCAATCATGAGTTACCTAAAGACAGACATCATTTGCCTCTTGACTCTTGACTGTGCTCTTAATTAAATGTAGCAAAACTCTAAATGTCTATTACATAACCCAATTAAGCTCATCAGTAGATATTTATCATTGGACAGAAAGGTTACACTGAAATCTTTAACCATCCTTACATTACTCAGTTTTACACTTTTTTTTATTCTATGTATTCGTTTTTCTGACAACAGGAACATTTACAATCTCTCCCCATAGTAGTCACTCCCACTGTGGGGAAAACACTGAGCTCTTCAATGACTTCCATTACAATAGCAAATTCTTTCTTTCTTTTTTTTTTTGTCATTAATTCATAATTTGTTAAACTGTTCAGCAGTAGCATGAAGTAAAACATCAGTAACTCACGACTTTATGTCCCCTAATATGGCTATGGTCATTGTCTAAGTCATTAGTAAATTGTGGGGGTTTTTTGTTAAAATTTTTATATTAAAATAATATATAAAAATGCAACATGAAATCCACTGGGAGAAAAAGAAATACAGAAAGTGCCAGCATTTTTGTGGCTGAAATCAATTCCATCATAGCAGACCATGAAAATCAGAATACAGCTGCTGTTTACCATAATCCTACACCCATCTTTAAGCATTATACACTGCCCATTTTAAAGAGGAGCAATGTGTGGAAATGTGGGGACAGCAGTGAAGTCTCAGATTTGCCATGCATTGTACACAGGAATTTTGTGCCTCTTCAGAAGACTCTAGTGTGAACTATCAAACTGCCCAGTAGTTACAATTAGCCCTGTCCCGTGGCTAATCTTATGTTTTGAACATGGATTAATGAGAAAATAGTACCTGATGCACATTTACACACAAAAACTACAAAAGTTTTGCTGTTGAAAAAAAAAAAATCGAATTTTCGTCTCATTTAGCAAATGGCATATGGAATTTTCTGTAAGGCATGTGGTACTAATTGAACATGGTACGAGTCCACCAGACAGTCAATATAGCCATGAGGTATCCAAGGAATGTTTCCCTTCAGTGGACATTATCTGTGTATTGATTTGATGGCCTGAATGGATAAAAGCTTCGGTAACAAACAATGTTTGAGGATTTGGGAACTGCACTTCTATTCTTATCTGTATGAATGCTGCAGTTGCTGAGCAAAATTTTGAGACACTTAATAAACGAGCAAATTAGGAACTAAAGAGGATCAGTTTATTTTCATTTACTCATTAACCACTTACTTTGGTATTTATTTTCAACCTTTTTTTTTTACACTGAGACCACTGCTCTGTGCCAGAGACCACTCTCATGCCAGAGAGCATGAAGCCAAAGTTATCACCCAATTTTTTTAATAGGAACAATAATCTAGGTTCCATACATTTTAATGACATTAACAAACACCTAAAAGAAAGCTGTATGGTACTAATGATTTATTTTGAAAATTCTGATATACACAATGTGTATGAATACACTTTCAGGTATTTGACACCAACTGAACTGATTAAAATATCAGTTATGCTATCTGTGTTAGATATGGGTTAATTATTAACTTTAAATGTTAGTCCATTTCTATATAGCTTTAATTCTCTTTTCAGTTCAGGTAAAACAAACAGCAGCAGTGAATTCTCACTTATCCTAAGCAAAATTAAAAGTCAAATGGTTGAGTTCCCCGAGCTAAGGTGAAAATGACTTTCTGTCAACCAGAGTATTTCTGTGCAAAAGAACATCAGAGTCTCAACACCACTATATCCAGCACCAGTGGGTTATTTTTATTGAGACACTTGAAGAGTAACAGAGCAGCAGTTTGTGGCTTGAAAGGTAGCACTGACTCCTTTGTAGCTCTAGTAAATTTCAGAGTAGTATAAAAGACACCACAATTTCAGTAGTGCTCTGAATGGGTCAACTTCCTCAGTCTACCACCACTTGCAAAATCTTCCATCACCACTAACAGAAAGAAATGAAATCTGCTTCCTAGTCCTTCAACAGTTAAATGTGCACTCTGCTTTTGATAACGAGACTGGAGAAGAAGCAGTGAGAGTTAAGTAACAAGGATGTCACTCAGTTTTAGAGCATCCTGAAATAAAGTCACACTGTGACTCTTATACCAAAAATAAGATGAGATTAAAAATAGACCTGTAATATTGGTAGTCTGTTACAAAACAGTTTAACATTCAATACAAAAGCCACTTGGCAAATAAAATATGGCAACTGAAGAACAAATCCTGGAAAATAATGTTATTTTTATACTTTCTGCACTGAAACTTTATGCTGAAAGGTGTAACCAGAATCTTACTAACTACAAAAAACGTTGCACATACCCTTCTCTTGAAGGCTCTAATTTAACAGGTGGTTTCAAAATACTTTCAAAGCATATGGAAATATCACCCTGTAAACCTAAGAACCTCTGCTCTTGACATGCTGTATCAATGAACTGAAAAGAGCAATAACATTTAAGGTGGCTGAATCCTCATTATGTAAAACAAGCTGCATTTTCCTGCTCTACCCCCTACAGTATTTCTATTTGTGGAACACAATAAGAATTGTGCTCTCTGCCTTACTTCCCTAAGATTTCAAATATCATTTCAGTTTAGAAACACACCTGCCCTGAGAGGTATTTTCAAACTGAAAAATCATGCATGATTAACAATTTTTCTCACATCAAGGGCTCCTTCTTTCCTCCTGTATATTGCACCAGACATATTGAAAGGCTACGTATCCAAGATATATACAGTATGCTAGATAACACTGAAAACCTAAATTCAGAAGAAGGAAAAAAAAACCAAACCAAAAAGTAACAAAATCAGCTTTTAGCTTAGGAACAGTATTTTCACACAGCTGTAGAACATTATTTGCAGGTTTGCTCTAATGAAACAAATTAACACAGCTTCCCAACCCTGCCTTCCTGCATTTACATTCCATGCATTATGCACCAAAAAAGCAATATACAAATAGAGATCCTTTCAGCCTCACTACCCTGTCTGCAAAACCAGCAGAGAATTTTCCATTGATTAAAACAGAGAATGGAAGAAAACAGACCAACCTTCACAATGTACGTCACACCAGGTCCCAGGATCTTCTCATTCGAGTGCAGCCATCCTCGAGAGGGTTTACTGACAAAGCTGCTACTTTGATTCCAATCTTCACCTCCCAGGTGCATTTCCTCTGACCGTGCCTTTTTCCCCATACTCATCTTGCTCACGTCCTGCTGAGAACACGAAGTGGCAGAGACAAGGTTACATGTGTTGTCTGAAGCCCCTGCTGCTGAACTAGAAGCACTCGAGCTTCCCTGCAACTTGGAGACAGCAAGCTCCTTTACTGCAGAGGAGAGGTTTTTGATACCCAAAAGGCTGCCTGTGCTAGAGAGTTTCAAGTGGGACACTTTATGGATGAGGCTACACAGGGTGGTGGGTCCATCTTCGTGGTCCTTGCGGAGAACCTCTGGTGAGACCAGGTACGAAGGTGAAGCTGAAGTCGTAGCAACTGCTGAGACCTTGCTGTTCATGGGCAAATTGTGAATAAGATCATCAACTGATGTCACAGAATCATTCCTGAAGCGGTTATACTTGGTACGTTGAAGCATGCCCTTCTATCTGCTCTCCTGCATATGTTCTGGCAAATCTGATGCCAAGGCAGGAGATGCCTGCACTAGCATAGCAGGCGATTCATAACGACACGGACCGATAACAAGATTTTGGGGTAAAAAAAATCAAAGAGTATAAGGAAAAACAAACAGGGAAAAAAAAAAGTATATTTTTAAGCAATTTCTTTTGGTTCCCTGTTAGGGTTGGGTGAAGTAACAGTTTTCTGTGACTGAGATCCCAGTCCTGCTTAGAGCTGCCAACTCGCTCACAGCAAAAGCATGACTCACACAAATGAGAAGGACCCTTTTCAACAAAAGGCTGTGAACACTGCAAATCACTTCCTGTAGCCAAAAAAAAAAAAAAAAAAAAAAAAAGAGAGAGAGAGAAGGAAAAAAAAAACCCACATCCACCCACTTACAGCACACTAGCTACCAATCAATTCTCAAATTTCCTTTTCCTATCTTCTCAAACAGATATTTCCTTTCAACCTTTAATTCCTATCCCCTCCCACCACCCTTTTAGTACCAAAGGCAATTACCTTCAAAACTGAATTAATAGCCTTTATGAAACATCACACTTTATTCTTCTGTTAAAATTCTTCCACCTCACACATTCGTGATTCTATAAAGAAATCACAATTAGATAGAAAATACTTGGATAATATTTACATACATATATCCCCTCTCTCCTCTGCCTGCAACAAAACACAGGCACCTTAAAGGTTTTCAGAACAGATGACAGAACTAAGGAATATAGACATTTTCTCCCACAAAAGCAGTCTAACAGTGCCTTTTTGTCAATGCTGTCCCTCACAGAAACTGTCATATCCCAATTTTGACAAAGAAATCCTTCTCCCCATTACTCCACAAGAACATTCTATTTTAATTCAGGAATTACATAAGTACCTATGTGTGAAGAAAAGCATTTTTCTGATGTCTGACAACAGGCTTAACAGATGTTTTTTCTTTCACCACTGATATTCACTCTGAAGAAAGACACGAAGAAGATCTTCAATTCACTGGAATGTTTGGTTTAATTCTGAAAAACTCAAAAACCTGAAATAATATTAAAAAGTCCAGAGAGCAGCAAACTGACATCCTGCAGTGAAAAACAAAAAAATGGTCTTTATTTAGCACGTTAGTCAAAAACACTTGATATGAGAAGTAGCAAAACATGCAGAAAGCAGGTATTTAATGGGTCCCCCTTTTTTTTTTTTTTAAAGACAAAATATGTACAGCATTGTGACACACAATGCCCATCACAAGCCATATGGCTTTTTCCTATAAATCAATCTGCTTTGCAAAACATCTTTTGGATGTAGGACAATACACTGCATTATAAACAAATTCAGACCAGAAAAGTTGCATAGTGCAAAGCTATTTCTTAAATACATGACTAACTGCAGCACAACTTAAAGGAAAAAATCCTGTGGAATTCCTTCCTCCTCCCATTACTAAAGGCTGCAGCATACAAAGTGCAAATACAGTGAAATAGCCAGTTCAAATACAGGTATTTAATTAGTATATTCATGACATATTGAATTAAATCAGCACCTCTTATCCCAGCAGTGATGAATAATGGTAATGTCTTAGCCAATGTAAAAGCAGGTTTCTACTGATCTGCAGAACAGCCTTTCATCACCACACTGCAAACCTGCTACAGCATCCTCACAGCATGCATTCCTCTCTTCATCCTCCTAGCACAGCAACAGCAAGTATACACACCACAGCCTATTTTTACGTGTCTCTACAGCCCAGAAAACCCTACTGCTCCCGAACGAGTGTCTTCATTAGAAGCGGCTAGCGAGACTGCAAAATGTGAATGAGATTCTGAGCGTGTGAATGAAAGGGCTGGCTAGCATCCCCACATTTCTGTGAATGAAGCGAGGCCTCGCAGCCTCTGCCAGGCAATCCCTTGGGTGCTCACCAGCCCAGCCAATACCAGCCGGCGCTGATGACTCATTCAGCAAAGCCTTGCTAAATAGTGGAAGATCCCATTTCGAGCACAGGCGGCACCCTTTTTTTGCGGCAACGCCAGAAAATGAAGCCGGCGTCTGAGCCGACGGGAGCGGGTCGCAAAAGCCCCCCGTGGGAGACGGGGTGTTCGCCAGAGAAATGCCCGGGGTGTCCACAGGGGTGGCAGGTGAGGAAAACCGCGGAGTCGGGTCTGGGTTTTCTCCCCGACTGTGTTCATTCAGCCAATTCATTTACACCCAGGACAGGAACATGAATGTGCACATTTCGTTTGATGTTTGATTGCTCCCTGCGTGCGCCCGCAGACTCACTGGTTTTGCAGGTTCGCCTTCACAGACCTCCGGTGAGAAATAGCCCCAAACAAACAAACGAAAACAACAACAACAAAAAAGCCACACAAACAAAACCCCCAACCGAACAAACAAACAAACAAACCATAAAAAACTCAGCCACGAAACAAAGCCAAAACCCTGCCTGAAAAAAAAAAAAAATACAGGGGCTTATTTACCCCTTTTTTACCCTGTTAGCACAGTAAATATTTAACGATGGTATGAACATCGGTCCACTGAAGGGGGGGGGAGGGCAGAGGGAAAGCTAGAAGACAAAAGCTTCCCAGAGCACCAGCAAGAGGTCTGTTTTCTGACACTGTTTCGCTGGACACAGAAATGCTACCAAGACATCTGTTGGATGTAGAGCTCCTCTGGAAACCTGATATTAGGCACTGCAGAGGACTAGAAGCCACTGCATTACCCAGTGCTTGAAATCCAGTGCTTATTTCAGTGTCTGACTGGGGAACTGTCTCCTTTACAAATCCAGCCCTGAACTGGGAGAACTGAACATTTTAAACCCTTGCCTTTTACAGTTTCTGGGATTAGAAACAGTGCATAATTTTGCCCTGCATAGGCAGCAGGTTCAAATCCAATTCTGGAAAATAATGAATGAAATAAGGAGACCGTGTAATAGGCATAAACTCCAATTAAAATTAGGATCTAGCTCATTCTAGCTATTGCCAAAGAATTTATAATGTCTTTGGCGTTTCCAACACCATGCCTGTAGCTTGCACACTGACTGTACCACATCTGCCTTCAACAAGCTTGTTGCTGCCAATATCATAGACAGCAAGACACTCAAACCACCACTTCTTCCTTATCTCTATTTGAAACCTATGTTAAGGCAGCTCGTAAAGTGGATCCAAGTTGAAAATGAGCCTTTTTCTTTCCTTTTTTGCAGGGCTATGAACCACCATGATTAACAAACAGCCGTGGAACTGTGACTTCATTGCTGACCCAGTAATAAAATGGCAGGTGGAAATTCGATGTTAATAAATGCAAAGTAATATATAATCCTAGAAATACATACACAGTGGGGGTGGGGCACACTGACAAAGTACAGCATTTCTTATGAACTAGTGGTAATTTTGGCACCTCACACTTCTTTTTCAACTTCTGTTGGTTTTCTTTTTCATTTCTGTTTTCTCATGGACAGTCCTCTCATCCTGGTGCAGTCCTTGTTTCATGTCACTGTTCCTCCTTTTTTTCCTCCAAGCAGCACTCACGGTCATATCCATAGCTAACATCTTTTTCCTTCTGTACCTTCACTACCTCTGCAGACTATATTTCAGAAGAAAGTAATTTGTATTAACAGTAAAGGGTAGGAAAAAAACCAGATTCTGGGGACAAAATTAGAGGGAGAAACTACATTTTGTTGAGGTTTAAAAGGTTTTAAATTGCTGCAGTTGCAAACATAGAAGACATTGTCAATACACAAGCTAAACCAGGTCAGATGGTGTGATCACCATAAAGAGGAAACACAGGGAGTACAACCACTGTGTTCCTCTAACTGTAGTAAGAAATTCTCCTGAATGCAAAAAAGGTGACTTTCAGTGACCCGTATTTAGAGAAATATTAATCACATAATCAGATTTGGCAAAAGTACCTTGTTCCAGTAACACACTGTGGTCAAACATGTACTCTCTATCCAAATAAGTGCTAGAAACTGTTGAAGTTCTGCTGAAAGACTATTTGCATTTCCAGGGTTTCTGCCTGGTGGCAGTAAAACTGCTTGTGGACTAAACTGGATTTAAGAAAAATGGGGATGAGGGGGTCTTTGGAGGGGGGGGGGGGGGAATCCAAAATGGATTTGGGTTAGCTAAGTTAAAAGAAACAGTGAGTCTGTCCAGAAACTCAAACACAGATGTTGCTAAGAGTTTTAATACTATACAAAAAGTAGCCATAAGGCCATCATAGTTGACATCCCTCTTTACAACAAGCCCTAAACAATGTTACTATGATGTAACATTAAGCCATCAGCAAACAGGATGCTATTCCTCACATTGTAGTATAATGGACACAAGTATTTATCTTTGGGCTTTAGTAAATGTTCTTGTAGAATCTTTAATACTAACAAATGGTCAATTCCATTAAAAAAAAAAAAAAGTTTCAATAGGAAAAAGATTTCTAATATCCTGTAGGGACATTCTTCTCTTGATTAGCTAATTCAGAAGGAAAAATACCAGCTTTCTTTACAAGGTCCAAGGTAGACATATACCAGAAATCTCTTACCCATGTATTTATTAATCAGCCTAATCCAGCTTTCTTTATGTGAGACCACTTCAGATGATCTAGGTAACAGAGGAGCAAGATGACATCAAGGCAAGCTGAAAAGAAGTATGATATAACCTTCTTAAGAAAAAAATATTTCTAAACCATTTGATCTCTTCTGTTTTTACATACTTAATATGTTATATTCTGTATTCCTCTCCTTCTCTGATTTACCTGCATACAGAGCTCAGTTACATCTTACTGTGATTTCAAGGGAGGCTTATCATGTAGCTGACAGAAATAATGAGAAGCACTGAACTTCCCATCTGTGCCATGACCATCTACCTCTACCTCAAAATATTTTGCAGGAATAAAAACATGGACTGGGTTCACATCACTTTTATTTCATACTGGGTGTTTGAGTCACACCTCAGCTTACTGTCCTAGGCAAGAAAACCACACGACCTCCACCAAAAACCCCCAAAGGTCTGTGGGCAAAGGTTATGGTCCTCCCCCAGCAGAAAACAAACAAACAAACAAACAAACACATACAAAGGGGAAAAAAATCAAACAAGCTGGAAAAAAAACCCACACCAAAACTATTTTAACAAATTCCAGTTAATTTATTTCAATTAAAAAAATGTGTTGTAAATTGCCCCCATCTCCCTTCTCTTTCACGGGCTCAGAGTTTTGCTGTTTCCGTGGCAACATTATTGCTAAGAGTGGGCTGCGCCAGGAAATGGGAGCATTATCTGCGGCTTTGCAAGTTATTTCTATGGAAAACCACGTTGCTGGAAGTATTACTGTCCAAAATCAGCGATCGTTAATCGTTAATGAGCTACTTCAAACTTAAATTACACCAGTAGAACGTAAAATTTAAGGTCTGAAATGCACCGATACATTTCTGCGCAGGTGCTCACGTTTTGAGCCAGAAGCTGACCCTAAACAAGGAGGATGGTTTTTTCTGCTAGCTGAGAACGCTGAAACAATTTTGTCGTAAGGCACATTCACCCAATGAAATATGACATGAAACATTTGGAAGAAAATGAAACTTGTAACTCCTTCTGCTCCATCAGTGGTTCCTGAGGGCCTACTGTTAAAAGTCAACACACTATAAAAGTTCAGAGAAAAGATGGATCTGAGATAATACCCAAATCTGAACATGACACTAAGCTTTTGCAAGGCAAGATCATGCAGGGAAGTGCATTAAAATCTGCAAACTGACACTAAACCAACTCTTGCAAACCCCTAAAATTTTATAGTAAATTATTTATTTCTCTAAGTCAGTCCCTGAAGTGAGAAAGAAAAGTAGCAGCAGTGTAAAAGGGATGTATTTTCTAAAAAATACACCATCCAAATACACAACCAAAAGCTCAGCCATGTCTGTTTGGCTGCCTACACCTGCTACAGACATCCTTTGTAACCAAAAAGCCTTTTCCAAACTAAACAATTCTGTGTTTCCATGATTTTTCCTCTTTCCCTCTGTCCCAAGCTGGCACCCTCTGCACCAGGGACCACACTCCAACTAGAGCATCACCCTAGAGAGGGACTCTGCTTCCCAAAGAAATACATTCCAGTCATGTTTTCTTCTGTGTCCACAAACTGTGATATGCTCAACAAACTGTACTTCATTGTGAATGATGTAATTAGAGACCCATAACATTCTCTCTGGTCCTATGATACATTCACACTGATGGAAATGATGTTGTTTCTGGGTATGTGTGCATTAATGCCAAAGTGTCTCCAGGTGTTTCTACTTTAAACAATCAGAAAAACTAGAGATTCGGATGAGAAAGTAAATAGCAACCTAGTTCAGTGACAAATTATGCAAGAACTTCTTTGCTGTCTTCCTTAGATTGGAAGCCAGTCATTTCCTTACTTGTTAACCCAGCATCTTTTTGGTTCTCATTCATGAAATGCATTTAATAATTCAGTAGTTTTCTTTTCTACTTTGTAATAAGGTGTCTATTTTTGTTCTGCTGATTTTTTTAAAAGTTTTTTTTTGAGTACTTTATTTTTATCCTGTTCATATCTTCTTTTCCTAGGAATGTTTTGCAAAGTAGCTTTAAAAAAACCCCTCTGTATGAGCTCTGACTTCATGAGTTTCCTATTGATTTCAACAGGAGTCAAATTTCATTGCCAATTTCCAAATCCAAATGCAAGTCTGGGAATCTTAGCTGTGTCTGACTCTTTGTACAAGATTTCTTAGGTTGGCTGCCATTCACAAAGTAAGTTTATTTTTATGAAAAAGTAAATTGCTTCATTTATATTTTCCTTTGTAAATCCATGAAAAATTATTTATTATTTATACAGTATAGATACAAATATGTGCTTTACCACCACATTTATACTCCAGCACTTACTCTTTTATTAGGGTAGTTAAATTCTGGCAAGAAGAGCAGCAATGAAAGGATAAAGGACAAAGGATAAAGCAGTGCACTTTGCTGTACCTTTTGGCATCAGGCAGGGTGAACTGAGTAGGCAGAAGTCCATTAAAAAACCCAGACTTTCCCAAATCCATTACTTCCCCCTCCCCTAATTAATAGGTTATCATCGAAATTATAAGAACCAAAAAACAACAGAGAGTATGAATTACCATCTCTGTCTTATGTTGCACATCAGACCAAAATTCTGGCTTTATGTGTAGAGATTTGGTGGCAGCAGCAGAGCTGTTCAGACTGCTCCCTCCCTCCTGTCACTGACTGCGTCACCTTTGCCATGTTGCCATAAGATGCATGCTGTGGCATCTGGTTGAAGAATAACACAGGAAAAATTGTTGGGGTTTTTTTGTTGTTGTTGTTTTTTTGTTTGTTTGTTTGTGGTTGGATTTTTTTTCAACCAGATCAGTTTTAGACTCCAATGAAGAGAAAGAGGAAAGGAATTGCACAGGCCAGTAAGTGTGTCTAATACCCACTTGCATCAGCTTCACACTGAAACACAACCCATTAACTTGCGCTGCCAAACCACACAGGTTTTCTTGGCAACTAAGGAGTTACATGCAAACCCACTGTCGATTAGCTTTAGGACTGAAATAATTCTAACCCATCTGCAGAAGTGTATAAGAGCACCTGTGGAGGGTTATCCACAGCAGCACTCACAGCACTCATTCCCAGTGAACTGAGAATGAGGACTACTTCTGTATTATTTGCACATATAGCTGGTACGAGTTTACCATGGTACCCCGTTTACAGCAATGCTGCTTGTTATCTGACCAGAAGTGATGGTTCACTGCTTGCCACAGTCAAATGGAAGAGGCATCTGCAGACAAGTGTGTATGTGCAGTTGTGCAGGCATGCACACAGGCATGCATCTATTCAGGATGCATTCCTTTCTCGGTTGGGTTGCTTGTCTTCCTTGCATTTGAGTAACCCTTAGATGCAACACCAGGTACAGAAAGCAGGATTGCAAATCTGTGAAGGATGTGATAACGAGGCAGGGCTGGGTGGTAGGATTTAAATAGCTAATTAAATGTTCACTTAACTGGACTGCAGTGTACAAAGTACACTGTTAGTAACATGAGGAAAGGCAAGAACTAAAATGGCTGCAGATGAGAAGACTGAGAAACTGTTTTAAGCTCCATGAACTGAAGCAGAGCAGAAGGAAGGCAAGCATCCTTAGCTCTGAAAGGCACTTCAAGACTAAAAAATGTTTAGAGTGGCAGAGAAATCGAGACAAAGGTGTGTTTACTGCTCTACTGTCATACAGGTCAACTTGTATATTTCCTTGCTGTAGCAAAAGCATACAGTGAACTTTCTCTAGGCACCCTCAGGCAATATGTTTTGTTTGCTCAAGCAGGGCAAGCCCCTGAGAAGCTTCAGTACGATTAACATTGAGAAAGCATGAAAACTGTTGGTATTCTGAGGGTCAGCAGTTCTCCAAAGGACTTCGGGCATGTGACCTAGGGATTTCAGTAACAACAAAGCAAGGGTGTCCAACAGAAAGGCTGGAGCAAAAACTTGGCAAGAGCTTGAACAGACAAGAAGAAACTGAAGCCCACTGGTTAAGCACAGGAAATTTATGGGTATGCAGGTCAGATGAGCTGCATACCCATAAATGGGAGAAAATAATCAGCTATGAGTGTTTGTTGAGAAATTCATGCATCAACAGCCCAATTCCAGAACTGCCCAGTGCTGACTATGGACTGGGTTACAATGAAGCACCGGTGCCAGGATGAAAAGGTGGAGGAGAAATGCCACTGGCAGAGACACTGACACCAGCTCACAGTTCCAGAAGGGAGAAAGGAAACAGGGACATTGAAGCCACCATGTGGCCTGAGATGGTCTGTTAGAGCAATAAGTAAAGCAGAAGGAAAAATCCTACCAAGTGTGCTGAAAACAATCAGCCTTACTATCCGGTGGCAACAGTAGTGCTGTTATCCCAGGTAGTTCAACAAGCACATCTGAGCAACTGACAGAACACTGTCATTACATTCAACATATTAGCACTGTACACATGTTGATTGTTTGCTGTCATTATTCACTTTGACTAGGTTATGAAAGAGCAAGGATCCATACTGTTATGAAGTTATCATGTGCCACTGAAGCAAGCTGTTAACTGCCTTGTCTAACAGTTTTTACTGACCACCATGAACTGTAATTATCCTTAAACTAACGCTTTAATTTGACCAGCAGCCCTTTATCTGTCTAGACTACCAAGACAGTGTCACAGCAGTGCTTTGTGCTACTAAAGCTGCTCCTCTACCCAAATGCAAGAAACTCTACCCATAGAAACACAACTTTGCACCTAACAGTGGGCAAATACTTCGCCTGCTTTTGCACAGCACAGGACTAACATATGCCTGATCAGAATATCTAAACTGGCAGAAATCTGTTGTTTAGCTACAAGCATTAGGATTGCCATGTGGCTGCAAAATTCTTAAGTGCAATTAAACTAAAAACTCAACAGTTAATGCAAAAACAATTCTACTGCAAAAATTTTGTACTGAAATATACATGTCTGTCTGCTGTGCAGTGACTCAAATAACACAAATGTTCACAGACATCATGACAAGAGTCAAATGAGAGAACAGGAAGATAATAGGAGGTTTCTGTATAGTGAAATGTGGGTATATGGTAATGTTCCTGGACTGAAACTTTTTCTTACCTTACCAATACTA